TATATATATATATATGTATATACTCCCCTGGTTTCCCTGTTCTCCTGCCAGATTGTCTTTCTTCCTCCCCATGTGTTCATTGCTCTCCAGTGTTAGTCTCTGTAGTTTTTGACTTAGCTTTGTTCTCTGGTTTTTGGATTGTCGCCTGCTTCCTGCCTGGATTTGTTAGTTTGATTCAGACTGATTATCTGTGTATGTGACTGCCTGGCTTTCCAGTAAAAAAGGCTTAGTCTTTTTGAACTTTACCTTGTGGTCTGAGTCTTTCCACTTCACACTCAGGAAGAGGACAATGTTGTTTTACACATTTTTATGTGTTTATGTTTTTCCATTCCGTTTCTCTCTGCCACCCTCCTGCTCTTTGTTGCCTATCGATATGTCCTGTGCTTACTTAAGTATGTGTTTATGTGTGTGTGTGTGGCTTTTTATGCATTTGTACGTGTGTATGGTGGAGAGGGTGTCCTGCTGCGTGACTCCTACCCCTTGCTGCCAGAGCCCCCCCCCCCCACATCCTTTATCCCCCAGCGTGTCCTGACCTTTGGCTGTGTCAGAGGAGCTGCTCATTGCTCACTGAAATCTGACTGAGGCTGACTGGCTCTGAGAAATAATAGGTGCCGGTCACAGAGTCTCATCTGTAGATTTCATTGAAAGTTACATAAGTTTTTGCTCTTGTTGCTACTGTAGGGCGCAGCTGTGACAGTTCCTTAGGAAGTTCAGTTCACTAGAATTGAACCTTTGATGCTGGGAATTAATGGGACGAACAAAGACGAACTATTTTAAAGGATAATTGTATAATTTCATTGATAAAAATTAGGTTTTATATTCATAGTTAGTCTTTTCTGCTGGTTAAGACATACTGCTCACCTCATACTGCTTCGCTAAAAAGAAGTGACGGTGCACAAAATATGAGCAGTTACTGAGGTTAGCAATAGAGACAAACTTTGCCCATTAGACCACATTAATGTGACGCATCCTCATTAATATAAGTTGAGGCACATACGAAGATGGCAGATAGGACAAGATCCTCTGGACTCTAGTCGCCAATGGTGGTGGAGTAAAGTCAGCAGCAGATGGTTGATGGAAATTCTCAGATGAATCACCCTGGACGCTCATTGGGCAGGCGATGGGCAGGAGGTAGGTCGCAAGACAGCGGAATCCGAAAGAGCAGAATGACGACACTTCAGTGATACTTTAAGGACCAGCGTCCAGGGAGTGATCAGCTGAAGGCATGTTGACGTCACAGTTGTGAATGTGGGGACGGTGTGAGAAAGTGGAAATGGCAGATTATAGGAAGAAAAGCCAGAAATTCAACCATAGAGTCCTCAAAAATGATGTTTCAAATGTCCAACACAGTCTGTACACTTACTTCCTGGTTCAACTTTGACCCACTGAACCCGTTGAGCTGAACTTAGCTGTTTGTGCATGATTGTGCAGTATTACCAATATTTCAGGTGTGAAATGTGGCAGTTAAAGCGATCTACTGAGACTGTTGGCTTGTTTACGACTTTTTATGAGACGGGGTGGCTCGCAATATTTACACTAATGGCTCCAAATTAATGTTTTGATGATTAATGATGTTAATATGCTGCATCTTTTTTAAATGTCACCGCTCTCAAGAATAGTGCAGACTGGATGTTTTGAAACTTTAGCTGAGGGTTTCCTCTAGCCGGAGCTGTACACGCAGTGTCATTCTCTCTGGCTGTCCTGTGTATAATCAGTGTGACAGGTATGACAGAGGCAGTATGGTAATAACCTAATTACTGACCAGTGAGAGGAGCCCCTGTAGTCGCCTGGCTGTCAGTGATAGAGCCGGTAAGAAAAGGGCCGGCAGGGAGGAAGGTGGGCGGTAAGAGAGACTGCAGTCTGACTCAGTCTCTGGACTTCAGTGGGCTCTCGCAGTGCTGCTGTCATCAGCCAGTGTGTCCATGTGACAGTTAGACAAGCAGCCAGTCATGTGGGGGAGAAAACACCCTCCATGTGATGGCGGGGGGGGCAGGAAACAGTTTTCAGCATGTTGCATTACGCAAGATCAAACGCAGTTGGCGACTCGCTGTCATCCTCATTATCATCACGGTCTTTGTGAATTAGAGCACTACAAGTATCAGTAGTTCTGCAGCTGAGGGTCGCCAAAGCCTCGAGGAATGTGTGCGTTTGTCGTCTTGTATCTTTGTTTTGCGTAAAAAAAAAAGGGATTCCAGTTTCAGTTGGGAGGATCCTTTAACTGGTTTGACAGCATTTCCTGTCAAATACAAACCTGATTGTTGACACAAAACCTGTCTTTTTTTTTTTTTTTTTTTTTTTTTTGTCTCACACTGTATTGACCGAAGCATAAAGCATTGCTAATAATCTTAGCCAAAAAAATTTTTGTATTAAATCCAAACTGCTGGATCTTGAACGATGGTATCAGCAGCATCAGTGTTAGGATTTTTCACTCAGCATCTTTGCACAGTGTCTGTGGATGGGCTGGATAATGCACCTTAATACATTTTTGCATGGATTTGCATGGATAATGGATGGATAATGAGACAACAGGCCCCCTGGGCACAGACATGTACAAGGCCCCCCAACTCCCTGACATCAGAGAGACTGGAACAGACACAACATGACTACAAACAACACAACCTTTTGTGGGTTTTTTTTTTTTTACTCTTTTTAGTAATTTTGTGACTCTTTGTGGTGGTTTTGCATCCCTTCGTGTGTAATCACTTTGTTTCTCTATGTTGTCGTCTCTTTGTGGCTCTTAATGCTCTTGTGTCACCTTTTAGTAGTTTTGCATATATTTGTGTTCATTTGTTGTGTTTCCTCTAGTTATTTTGTCTTTTTGCATCTCTTTGTTGTCACTCTGTGCCTCTTTGTGGTCATTTTGTGTGTTGTTGTTGTTGTTTTTTCTGTGGTTGTTTCGTGACTCTGTGTGGTCATTTTCTGTCTCTTTTCTGTCAGTTTTTTGATCGACAATCCGACAAGAAATGTCGCTGATCCCTGCAGGGGAACCCGGACCCCTGGGCCCTCCGAATCCAGCTGTGCTTTTTCAGTACCAAATAAAATATGTCATCCAACATTCAGTAACAAAACCTGTCAATTACCAAAAGTTTTCACTTAATGTTTAGTCGAGTTGTCATATTGTTATTATATTCTTTGTTTAAATAGTTCTTGATTTAAAAGGGAACTAAACCAGACATAGAATCAGCTTACTGGTCATACCTGGTATTACTCACCCTGAGAAATATGTATAATGTTTGATGGTGTTATTTGAGTTGTACTGGGAGTTTTTTCTATCATCACTCGCCTATATATATTTGTTCTTAGCGCCACTATATTGCTACTACTGACACCGATCTAATTCAATATGTTTAACTGGAGTTTATGAACCGTGGAATATATAATAACGTGCTGGTTAATCATCTATAACCTTCCAGCAGTGACTCTGCGAGCCTCCGGCCATCGCAGCTGCACTGGACCCTTATCGCTCCATCAGAGGTAACGACGAACGGGAGAACAGATTAACCGCGACAGGCATGCAGGGCCTCACACCACAGCAAATCGATCGGTGGGGGACAAATATAGGTTGTCTCATTGCTGCTAGCTGGAACATGGCTGTCATCAGTTCACAACGGAAAGACGGGAGAGGGAGGTGGAGAGGATGTGCCCAACATGCCCATCTCCACTCTGCTGTTAACGCTGTTGATCCACCTTCAATTACTCTGTTGTGTTGCTCTAATGACAGCTGTTCTCTCTGTGTGTTGTTTCTTCTGCACGTCAGGTTTATTGAATCAGACATTAATCTCCAACTTTTCATGCAAATCAAAGCTCTGTAAACCTACTTCTGCTGTGAGGGAGATCTTCCATGCCCAGAGAAAAATAACAACGTCCTCCTTTTTACTGTCTCACAGCAGCAGAGCGACCTGCCCCCATTTCTGAGGTGCTACACCGGGGTGCGTTCAAATATTCAGTGTAGTGCACCAGGCCAATTATTTTGTGATGGATAAAAAGTGTTTTCTGCACCAAGGACAAAAGATTGACGACTGAAATACATCCTATTTTACTTTAGAAACACATAGTATTCAGTGACAGAGCTAACCCTAATTTGGCCCACTTACTGCGTGTACCCCCCTCCCCCATCACCCTCATTCACACACACACACACACACACACACACACACACACACACACACGCACACACACACACACGCGTGTGCACAGGCTTACATACCCACATAGCAGTGATGATGATGATGCTGTCGCAGTACTGCTGATGCGATTTGGCAGTACTGGGGCACAATTCCTGCTGAATGCCCTAAAATTTCATCTCCCCTGTGCCCCCATCCCCACATTCCCTCTCGACAGCACTCTCAGCAATCACACCAGCGACCCCCCCCC